CTAACTTGTTTGCGTTTGAAGCTAGACACTCCCTGCTAAACAAAAATGAAGAAAGTTTGGAAATGAAAAATCATTCAATACAATTTTGTTTTCATGTTGACAATCTTTTTGACTCTCGTGTGCGAGTCTTTGCGGTTAGTCTGTCTGTATGTGAGTATGTGTGTGTGTCTGTCTGTCTCTTCCACTAATATCTCAAGAACTGTATGTTGGTTTTTAATGACACTTGGTACATAGTTGTTCTGGGCTAATGGGCAGATTTGATTAGGTTTCAGTTGAAATCCATGCATATTAATTAAAATCCATGCATATAATTAACCTAATTTGCATAATGATTAGTCAATTTTCGGCATTTCCACTGATATCTCGGGTACTAATCATCACATTTCAATAAACTTGGTACATTGATACTCTAGAACAATGCACATACCTCAGTTTTGTGTTAAAATCAGATCATATTAATTACCTAATCACATTTCAATGAAACTTCGTACACAGATGGTGACGGCACTTATCTTAATTCAATGAATCTTGATACATATATACCCTAACACAATGTGACGATCAGATTAGTTTCAGGTTTATATACATCTATAATAATTACCTAATTTGCATAATAATTTACTTTCCAGCTTTCCACTAATTTAGTTAGGATTACTCATAACATTATAATTAAATTTTGTACAATAATTCATTTGGTTCATTGAGGTAATCCACAGACATGATGTTGATAAATATGCATATTGATTAACTATTATTAGCCCATTTCTGATATCTAAAAAAATCAGATTTAAATTGAAATCATCACAGAGGTACCCTGGAATAAATTAGACTAAAAACCATGGATGAAAAGGTATTTTGTGTATGTATTATAAATTTTGATAATGTGAATCACATTGTTTTCATGTTATGCGTCTCAAATAGCAGGCAAATATAAGTTGCAAAGCTTCTCGTTTGAAAAGCAAATCTTCAATTTTGAATTGATTTTAATATGTCCCCAATACTCCCAAGTACACAGGAGTTCTTTCTAAGCTTTCTTTGAAATTGAGTTGTAAATGAAAAAAATCATTCCTGAAATTGTTGTTTCCATTTCAACCTAATCTGCATCTCAACCAGATGCTTATCAATTTGCTTCTTTGTTAAAATTCGCCCCTCCGGCAAAATAATTTATACAGCTATAAATGAAAAATCATTCCACGGTAACAAATCCATATTTCTACAAAATGTGAGTGGCTGGTCTTTGTATCAAGGGCAATTTCTACTGAAATTAAGAATCCATTCCTTTTGAGTTAATAAATGAAAAATTATTCACAAAATTGTTTACCCTGTCATCCATATCTATCTCAACCAAATAAAATCTAATCAACTGGTTTCTATGTCAAGAGTCAATTGCTGTTTCCATACTGACTGGATTCATATCTCTACCAAAATGTAATTTCTAGGTTCTTGCAGCAAGGGCAGTTCCTTGACATTTCTCAAATTGCTTTTTCCTTGGCAACCACACCCACAGAAATTTGATTGTTTATTGCCTTAAAGACAATTGACAATTTCACATTAATTCATTAAATGAAAAATCATTTCTGAAATTGTGATTTTCAATTTCACATTAAATCATTAAATGAAAAATCATTTCTGAAATCGTGATTTCCCATAGCCTCAAGTGTAATAGATCTACCAAAATTGTCATCCATCTACAACTTTATATTCGTTACTGAACATAATTCACAAAAGGGCTGTTTCCATGGCAACTCGATCCA